GCCATACTGCTTTCCACAGGGGTTGCACCATTTTACACTCCCACCAACAGTGAATCAGGGTTCCAGTTTCTCCACAACCTCGCCAGCAACAAATAGAAATTTATGTCTAAGGAGAATGTTGTCCACCTCCAATCCACACTCCCTTCAAAGTTGAGCAATAAAGAGAAAACATGATGAGGACTAGAAAGGTTGAGGTCTATATAATATAGGTCATTTATAACTTTCAAATCCAAGCTGCAGATCTTGTTTGTAATGGAAGGATTTAAATAAAGATAATCATTTTATCAGAGACTTTCTGAAAGTCTGTAAGACTTTAAATCAATTACTCCATTTAAACTTTCATTTTATTTAGTTAGACTCATTGTCAGTGTGTCTGAGAATTTTTAAAGACCCTAGAAAATTGCTAGCATGTAGTTCAATTTAGTGTTGGAAAATAACAACAGATACATCTTTCCTATAACTAGCAAATGCTGATCTTTTAAGAATTTACTTGAGGCCTATTTTAAAATGGAAATACACATAAAGTTGTGCTAATACCATTTAAAATTTCCTCAGTTACATTCTTCCCTCTCCTCAGTGATAATCATTAGTATAATACATTTTATGTCTTTCTTTCCAATCCATGTTTTCATACTTCTACTACTTATTAATGTAGTCATAAGTAGTACATCATAATTTTATTTATATAAATGGAATTGTGCTGCAAGTATGTATCTTTGTAGTTTGTATTTGGAAGCCATCTGTGTTAATGTATTTTAGCCTCTAACCACTGTTGTTGTCGCTTGCCATCGAGTTAAGCACAACTCATAGTGATTCTATGAACAAAAGACCTGATAACTTTCTATCACTATCGTGGGCCCACTAGATTTTATTATTACCTCTCCAGCTGTGAAAATGAAAAATATCTGCTGTTAAATATCCCTTGGACACCAAATCACATCCTGCTGAAGATTACTGCTTTGAGTGATGTATAAGGAAATGAGTGTTCTGACTCAAAGTTTTAAGACATTCTTACTAATTACTATTTTAGGCGAGATTTTTTTTTTATTGTTATTTGAGTGAAAGCTTACAAAGCATATTAGTTTGGGGCAGGATTCTTTTTTGCTAAAACATCTTGGCCTAGGTCAGCATTGTTCTGTTGTACTAAGGCAGGATAGAGAGAACAATGATATTTCGGTTTGAGAATGGCTTAGGGACTTCAATATGAATGTCTCTTTTTTCAGCCTGCCAATCAGCACTAAATCTCTTTCTTGGAACAGATTTTCTGGTCATAGGTGATCCTCTCCATTTAAGTGGAATGAAGGCATGTTGGTAGGAGCCATGCAGTTGGTGCGGCTCATACTGACCCTTTGTACAACAGAAAAATATACTCACTATCTCTGTCTGCTATGTTAACTACACCCATTGCTACAGTCATATGTCAATTATAAGGTATTTCAATGTTCTGATATAATGTTTAGAACATAAAATGTCCTAAAATAGTTTTTTTGAGCTAATCTTGGTAGGAATGAAGATGGGGTGTAAGGGCAAAAGCTGAGGTAACTGCATTCTCTCATTTTTCTACTCTATAATTAAATTCCTGAGTTTACCATGGGGGGAGGGAAAGGGATTAAGAAAGTTGTGGGACAAAACCAAAGTTTTATCTCTGTCTCTTCTGGTAGGAATCAACAGTAGCCTTCCATGAGGAACTGCTTCTTCATATACTTCTGGAGTTGAAGTTGTTTCTTGCTGGCAGAATCAAGGACATGCCAGCACTGTAAGGGTTAATCTTAACAGTCTTGGAATTGAAGTGGGGTGACCTGGGGGGGGGGAAGGGGAGACCTTGCTTTTCCCTTATGGATTTTTAGTCATTTCAAATCTTAGCCCATATGCATCCTTTCCTGGTGAATCTTCTCCCATAACATTGTTCCCAATTTTGCCTAATTCTTTCTCATTTATAGTAGCTCTCATTTATAGTCGCATTCTCTTACCCCATCCTCCACCCACTGCCAATAGTCTTAGATTCTGAGCTGATGGAGTGTTCACTTCCACAGAGCGGGATGAGTGGGTGTTCCGGCGGGGATGTGGTCATTGCCGGCCAATGAGGGCGAGAGCGCCACAGCCCACTTCTTCCTTGGAGCTGGAGATGAGGGCCTGGGCACATGTGGAATAGGCATGAGGACAGAAGAAAGTGACAGTGAGCTCCTTGAGGATGAGGAGGATGAAATGGTAAGCCTCCGGGTAAATTATATAATTTGATGGTGGGGCCCTTGTGACAGAGTTGAGATTCTACTGGATGAAGACACCTGAACTCTGTCATATATAGGTCCTTTTCTCTTTGACAGGAGGGGCAGTGGAGGTTGTTTAGACTACCTGTTTGCAAAGCCACACCCTTGTGCCCACATAATCATGATTATTGGTTCTCTGGTTCTTCTGCCTGCACACTTATTTTCTTTTGTGGAAAGGTTTCTAGCCACATGTCCCTCAACCTAGATCCAAGTTATAAGATAACCTTTACCTCATAGGCTGAGTGGCAAAAACCTCTGCAATAAGATGAGACACTGCTCTCTAATGGGAGTGGTATTGGTAGGAAGTTCCTGAGTTCCTAATAATACTTCCTTCCTGTAGCCTCCTGAACCACAGATCATTGTTGGCATCTGCGCCATGACCAAGAAATCTAAGTCCAAGCCAATGACTCAAATCCTAGAACGACTCTGCCGATTTGACTATCTGACTGTTATCATTCTGGGAGAAGATGTGATTCTCAATGAACCTGTGGAAAACTGGCCATCCTGTCACTGCCTCATCTCTTTCCACTCTAAAGGTTGGGAGGCAGAATGGAACTGGGAGGGGAAATGAGAAAGAATGATTTTGGAAATGCTGAGCTGGGAAATGAGGTTCTTACTGTCATATTTCCATATTAAAGAGACCACTAGCTCTTCTTGATATACTAGAGAACAGCATGAAAGGGTTTGCTTTTCCTACATTGTGGAGGAGTTGCGAAAGGTAGCTTACAATTCGTGTTCTAACCTTAAGATAGCTCTAGTGCTCCTAGGTTGCCTAATAGAACTGGTTATTTGGAAGAACTTTAAAAAAATTTCTTTTTTACTTTTCCTGATTAATATCCTAGGCTTTTGAATAGCTTTTTGAATAGCTGAACAGAACAATAGTGATGGAATTAAATGGATAGAAATGCTTAGTTGTAACTAAAAATAATAGCATGTTTAATATATTCTTACTCTCTTTCATACTCAGTTTCTGTATATTCCTTTCTCCATTCTAGGCTTCCCTCTGGATAAGGCTGTTGCTTACTCCAAACTTCGAAATCCCTTTCTTATCAATGATTTGGCCATGCAGTATTACATCCAAGATAGGTATAACTTTCTGTTGACTGATGGGAGGGGTGGCCCTGGGATCATGCCCCACTATTTCTCAGATGTTTTTAGGAAACTCACTTTGGAGGGAGCTGAGTCAAATAAACATTGCTTAATTTTTATACAGTACTCTCTTGGGTTGTAGACCTTTGGGTCTTTCAATCCCTATGCAAGTGAAATTCTAGCCCTTGCTCTTAGCTTCCCTGCTACGCACCTCTCCCAGCTAATTTATTTGGGGATGACAGGAGGGAGGTGTACCGGATCCTGCAGGAGGAGGGTATTGATCTGCCTCGATATGCTGTACTCAACCGTGATCCTGCCCGACCTGAGGGTAAGTACCTGACCTTGTCCACCTCTACTCTGCCTTGCTGTGTATGACCTAGCCTTGTTCTTTTAGACCTCTCTATCCCCTATCTAAGTAGGACTTTGGATACTGTATTATGGATAGTGTTATGGGTCTTTGGACAGAGCATTGGACCAGTAATATAGATATATTGTCATGCCTATTGCCAAGATAAGATAATATAAATTTGAGAGTTACAGATTAAAACCGTAGAGAAACAAGTTGGATATATTTTATAACCCTAAGCCCTAAGAATGACCATACACCTACATTCCAGAATGTAACCTTATAGAAGGTGAAGATCAGGTGGAGGTAAATGGAGCTGTCTTTCCTAAGCCCTTTGTGGAGAAGCCAGTGAGTGCAGAGGACCACAATGTTTACATCTACTACCCCAGTTCAGCTGGAGGAGGAAGTCAGCGTCTCTTCCGTAAGGTGGGAGTGCATTTGAGCATTTGGGGACTCAGAGAGGTAAAAGAACAAGGGAGGGAAGCTGGAGGATTTGAAGATAAGGTGGTGGGTTGAGGCAACTGTTTGTATTCTTTCTTCCTCTTAAAGATTGGTAGCCGAAGCAGTGTTTACTCTCCTGAGAGCAGTGTCCGCAAGACAGGGTCATACATCTATGAAGAGTTCATGCCAACAGATGGCACAGATGTCAAGGTTATGGTGGATAAAGGGATTAAAGAGGTTACAAATGTCTGTGTGGGGATGGGGTGCTTGGGAAGCAGGTGGAAGTGTATGGAGGAGGTCACAGAAATAAAGTGTGATGAGATGGACTTTCTTATTTAATTAAAGATAAGGGATATAGATATTCATATTATCACTATCAGCATGGGCGAGGGTAATACAGAAAATGATACAATGTTGGTGAGTTGTTATAGTATAATATTGGTAGTTAATAGAGACTAACTGATAGTTTTGGAAGCTTGTGTAGAAATCTCATTATAATACTTCAGTTAAGAAAATGATACCAGCCCCTGTGATGTCTAGCACTGGGCTCCGATCACTTCTGAGGACACAGTGCCCCCCAGGACCTTTGACACCTGGGGATCTGAGGGGCCCTGGCAAAAAAAAAAAAAAAAAAGAAAATGATATCAACAATCTTCTTACTCTTAATATTCTATTTTTTATGTGTTTATTACTTTAAATTCTAAAGCTAGTCTACAGACCTAGTGCTCATATTGTCTTCTCATATACAGGGTGAGCTGTGGGCATACTCAGTGATGCTATGTACCTGCAGGTATATACAGTGGGGCCAGATTATGCCCATGCTGAAGCCAGAAAATCTCCAGCTTTGGATGGGAAGGTTGAACGAGACAGTGAGGGGAAAGAGATTCGATACCCAGTCATGCTGACTGCCATGGAAAAGCTGGTGGCCAGGAAAGTCTGCGTAGCTTTTAAGGTGGAAGAAGGGTCATGGGGGTTTGTGGAATAAGGGAGAGAGACGGGCAGAGATCTTGAAAAAGAGATGCCTTTTGTCTTCATCTTGTCTTTTTTGCCCTGCAGCAAACAGTTTGTGGATTTGACCTTCTTCGTGCCAATGGCCATTCCTTTGTGTGTGATGTTAATGGCTTCAGTTTTGTCAAGAACTCAATGAAATACTATGATGACTGCGCCAAGATTCTAGGGTAAGAGACATAATGATCTGAGTTGGGAAGAATGGGCTGAAAGAAGAGGGCTAAAAGGTTTTGGGGTTTTTTTTTTTACTTTATTTTAAATATTGTAAAAATGATTTGAAAGGGGAAATTCTCCTTAGCTCCTTTGCATTTCTTTTTTTGTCTCCTTTGCATATCTAACAATGTATTTTTCCAGAAGTAATTAATATCAACAGTTTGCACACAATAGCATGTATTTTACTTCCATATATAAATAAATTATACTTTAAGAATATGGATTATTCTTTATTTTGCCAAATAAATAAATAAATTTAATCATCCTATCTGTATTATTGTACAACTTAACTTTTTAAAAAAATTTATCAGTAATATTTAAAACATTCAAAGCAGTGTAAGGCCTGATGAGTACAGTGAGCATCTATGTACTTAACACCTAGATTAAGATATAAAGTATTATGTATACAGTCATACATTGCTTCTTGCTCCTTGGAAGCAAAGATTTTGAAACTCCATCTTACATACTTTGGGCATGTTTCCAGGAGAGATCCATCCTTGGAGAAGGACATCATGTTTGGAAGGGTAGAAGGTCAGTGCAGAAGAGGAAGACCCTGGAGGAGATGGATTGACACAATGACTGTGGCAGTGGGGTCAGGTGTATCAGAGACGATGAGGTTGACTCAGGATAGGGCAGGGTTTAGAGCCATTGTTAATAAGGCTGATATGAGTTGTAGTCCACATGACAGCACATTACAACAGCATTAGTCAAAACTCCTAGTAAGCCTTCTTAATTACATCTCTAGCATCACTCTCTAGAAGTAATCATGACACTAAATTTGATACTTATTTTTCCCAGCATTTATTTATATTCATTCTAGATATACAAACTTTGTTTGGAATGTGTTCAGTCTTCATATTAATGTCAAATAACTCTTAATTTGTTGTGAGTTGGAACTCACTCATAGCTGACTTTCGGTGGATTTTTCAGAGGCTTTCAATTGTACAGGAAGGAGATTGCCCTTCTTTCCTTTACAGAGCAGCTGCTAAATTCAAACTGCCTGCCTTTGCATTGGCAGTGCAAGTCCTTATTCACTAGGCCACAAGAGCTCCCTTCATATGAATGTATTATTCTATAATTTGCTTGTTAGACTTGGTATTTTATTTTTTAACTTAATTAATACATGTAGCAATGATTCATTATCACATGGCTTTCTTATATTTCTTCTTCTAGGAACACTATAATGAGGGAACTTGCCCCACAGTTCCAGATCCCATGGTCTATCCCAACAGAGGCTGAGGACATTCCCATTGTTCCTACTACATCTGGCACTATGTGAGTAAAAGTAAAAATCTGAAGTAACTAACTTTCAGCATTTACTGCTGTTCTGAGGACTGAGTATTGGAGATTTCCTTACCATCCACAATTTAACTGGTGGAGCCTATGTCCCTTCTAGGCAGTCTCCTTAACACTTATTGATAATCTAAGGCACAATTTTTCTTCTACTCTTTGAGCATTAAGTAGGATATGATTTGTAAGGATGGGAAAGCACTGACAACATTCCTAACCCTAGGATGGAGCTTCGTTGTGTCATTGCAATTATCCGTCATGGAGATCGTACCCCCAAACAGAAGATGAAGATGGAAGTGACACACCCAAGGTAGGAAGGATGTCCAAATTAGGCAAATAATTTTGATGAAGGAGATAGAAATAAGGTGCTCCTAGAGAATTTGGCCTCACACTGAGTTTTCTCTTCTGCAGGTTTTTTACTCTGTTTGAAAAACATGGTGGCTACAAAACAGGGAAATTAAAATTGAAGCGACCTGAGCAGCTACAGGTAAGGTAGTAAATTGGACAGGGTGGTGTTAAGGGAAACAGAAAGTGTATCCTTTATGTGTAGATCAGAGGCCTTGATTAGAGATGCAAGTGGAAGAGCCATTGACCAAAATTTGCGCTCCTCTATGGGTACTGTATTATTTCCTCCAGGAAGTGCTGGACATCACAAGGCTGCTGTTGGCTGAGCTGGAAAAAGAGCCAGGTGGTGAGATCGAGGAGAAGACTGGGAAACTAGAGCAGCTGAAGTCTGTGCTAGAGATGTGAGAAGGGAAATAGAAAGTGGGAGCCAGTAAAGTAAAACTTGGGTGCTGGAGTAGAAAGTAAACTGAGACTTTATCCTACAGGTATGGTCATTTCTCAGGCATCAACCGAAAGGTACAGTTGACTTACTACCCTCATGGAGTAAAAGCTTCTAATGACAAGCAAGGTAAGATACACTGTGGCCATTCCGATCTCTTATTCTTCAATATTTAACGTTGCTCCAGACTGCCTTTCTGATCTCCTGTTAGCTATCCCCACTATTTTTTTAGATGTAGACCTGTTCACCCCCTTATTCCCTCAGATGCCCAGGGGGAGTGTCTGGCCCCATCTCTACTTTTGGTGCTGAAGTGGGGTGGAGAACTGACTCCTGCTGGCCGTGTTCAGGCTGAGGAGCTGGGGCGTGCTTTTCGCTGCATGTATCCTGGAGGACAGGGTGAGTGTTTTGGGAGGTAAATAACTAGCAGGGCTGGAATAATACAATTAGAGAATAGATTGAGGGGAAATGAGTGCACAAGGGCAGTAGAGGAAATTAAGGGGAAATGAATATTGATAGGCTAGGTCTTTTCTGCCTCTCCCTCCCTGCCCATCCTCAGGTGACTATGCTGGTTTCCCTGGTTGTGGACTGCTTCGACTCCACAGTACTTTCCGTCATGACCTCAAGATCTATGCCTCTGATGAGGGCCGCGTCCAGATGACTGCTGCTGCCTTTGCTAAGGTATCTACTACCGTTTTAGCAAAGGCTCAGCTTCTATCAGGTAGAGAAGCAAATATTTAGAGAATGAGTGGGGAAATTTCAGGGTGTTTGTTTCAGAGAGATTTCTGCTTGTTTTGAACTCTTAGATGACCTCTACCCCAGACTACCTTTCTGGTCTCCTCAGAAACCATGTTGGTATATCCCCCAATATTTTCCTTACTTGTAGACTTATTCATTAGCCTTTATTCCCTCAGATCTATAGGGGAAGGATCCAGACACATTTTACTGCTGATGCTGACCCCATTTTATACTACTGAGTATAAGCTGGTAATAATTAGTGGGGCTAGGCTCCTTGATCTGTAGTCCAGTCTTCCAACTGAACTCTCATTTGATCTCTGGGATGAACTAGGCATAAGAGAACTGATTTGGAAAGGAAACAAATAGACCTTGTGTTTCCCCTCCAGGGCCTTCTGGCTCTAGAAGGGGAGCTGACACCCATTTTAGTACAAATGGTAAAGAGTGCCAACATGAATGGGCTCCTGGACAGTGATGGTGACTCCTTGAGCAGCTGCCAGCACCGAGTGAAGGCACGACTACATCATATTTTGCAGCAGGATGCGCCTTTTGGCCCTGAAGACTATGATCAGGTCAGGCTCTCCTTATCACTATGCTCAAAACACTCCAGATCCTCAATTCCTGGAACCCTAAACAATAGCATTTCTCTGTGTGTCAGGCACTGTTCTAGGTGCTTTACAGACATTAATTCATTTAATCCTTATAGAGATAATCTTTTGAGATGAATATACATTTATCCATAACTTAAAAAATGGAAAAACTTTTGATAAGTTGCGTGTTAAGACTCATTTTGTGGCTGAATGTAACGTGATAGAAAATGTCCTAAAGTTAATCTTTATTTATGCCATTTAGTGAAGATATAGGAGCCTTGGTGGGATGCTGGTTTCAGTATTAGACTGCCAACTGAAAGTTTAGCTGTTTAAACCTACTAGTTGCTCCATAGGAGAAGGATCATAATCTTGCTCCTTTTAAAAATTATTTCTTTGGAAACCCAGTGGAATAGTTTTATCCTGTCCTATAGGGTTACTGTTGAGTCAGAATTCACTTAATGACAGTGAGTTTGAATGTAGACATATGTTTTATGCAGAAATATTAATATGTTTGTTTATGTCCCAGGCCTTTCTAGAGTTGTTATATAGACTCAAGAAAACAAACACGTCCATCAAATCAATTCTGACTTGTAGCAATCCTCCATTGGATTTCTTTTAAAAGGCGAGAACTGCCAATTTTTCTACTGTGGAGTTACTGGTGAATTTGAACTACCAAGCCATGTGACTCTTTACTAAGCAATGCAGCATGGTACAGACTACATCATCAGAGTTCCTGGAGATGTTATATATATCATATGCAATGTATTAACATCCTAAAATAGAAAAAAATTTTCAGTTTCAAAATGCAGGTGATTAAAAAATTTTTGAGTAAAAGAATGTTTGTTATCAATTGCTGTATAAAAAAACTGACTATAAAATTTAGTAACTTAAAATAATAATAGTTTTATTTCTTACAATTATAAAATGGTAATTGTTTTAAGTTAGTTGGAGTCTCACAAATCAGGCAGATCAACAGTCAGAGCCTCTCCTCTCTAAGCGTTTTCTTTGTGTAGTTTCTCACGTATAGTAGCTTCCAAACCCAAACTCACCACTATAAAGCCTTTCAGACAGAGTGGAACTGCCCCTAGGTTTTCCAAAGTTGTCATTTTTTTAAATTATGTTTGTGTGCGTATACTGTCAAATCAGATCTGACTGGTACAGGAGGAGATTGTCCCTCCTTCCCCGGCAGAGCATCTGGTGGATTCGAACCGTGGGTCTCTGGGATTGTAGTTGCAGCTCCTTGCCACTAGGCCACCAGAGCTCCCCTTTAAATTAATTTTTTTAATTAAAAGTTTTATTACAAGTTGTATT